TGACATCAGTTGGTATTACTGGGAACACAGCCAGATAAAAAAGTTCTACATGCTTTTGCAAGATTATCATTTGCATCTTTCCTACATTTGAATGATCTATTATTTGAGAGTAGATCTACTATTTTCTTTGGAAAATAGTAGAGAAAATACCATGAACCTAATGATTGCAGTTTTCTCGATCTATAAAAACTGCGTAAATTTGGAGACGTAATAGTGGAAAATTTGAATGGTGGAAAGATAGTCTCTACTATCATTTGTTTTTCAACAGAACAAATAAAAGAAGAAAAACCAACCAGAAATTTGGGATGGAGCTGACAAATGTTACCAGAGAATTACTGAGAATTAAGTAAAATAAATCAACTTAAATGAAATTCTTGCTAAGTCTTAAGTCATATGCAATTAAATTGAAATTATCTAAACAAAGACAAGTATTGTTTTCTACATGAAAGGTATTATTTATGAAGGGTGCCCTTTCTTAAATCTTGTGATACTGCATTTATGGTATAACTTTAATGGATGAAGACAAATTTAAGAAAAATCTGTTACTTATTAAGCACCAGAGGAAAAGAAACAGCTTACCTCTATATGCTGCTAAATATTGTTAGGCAAGTTTTGAAAGCGAAAGTTGTTTTGTTACATTTTTGATTCTGCAAGACTGAAAAAAAATTACCTGATATATTTTCATTTTTTTTTTAACATTAAAGTAAAATATACTAAACTTTGTCATTCAGGCAAGCATGCCCATCTGAAATAGTTCTACCCTTGATACCTAGCCATGGTTTGATACTCAAGACATCAAGCCAATTCTCCTTTTTAGCTATCTACAACGACATTTATTCCATATGTTTTCTACCATTCAAATTTCCCATTATTACATCTCCAAATTTATACAGTTTTTATCAATCGAGAAAACTGCAATCATTAGGGTCATACTATTTTCTCCATTTAATAATATCTGTCCCTATTTTTTTTCTCTTATTCAGATACAGATGTCTCTCCTATCTTTCCAAAGCTTGGGTATCTACTAAGTTGTTTATCTAGTAAGTTGTTCATTTTAGAATATGGCCCATTTTTCTGAAGTAGTTGTCAATGGTAGGGTGGGGTAGGGTGGGACTCAACTGTAAAAAAACACATAACCAGGTGTCAAAGGACCAAGGTGGGGGTGCATGTTCTCCTTGGAAAGCACCATTCTCTCAATCCTTAACCAGCTCACTATTGAGAAATTTAGCTTTATTCTTTTCCACACTTATTCTTTTTGTTTTTCAGGAATTGTTAAGACTCATTTAGCACCTTAGCATTAAAACACACACACACACACACACACACACACACACACACACACTAAAACCCCTCACTCACTTCTGCTGCCATGCCTTTCTACAACCCCGCCCTTCTTTTACAAAGTTCCTCAAGCCATCTCCATGGTATCTTATACTTCTCAACTCCTCTACTCTGCTTCCACCACTACTTATCAAAATCACTTCTCAAAGTTCACGAGTAGCCTAATCAGAAAAAACAAAGGCATTTTCCAAGTGTTTTATTTTCTTGAGTCTGTGGTCTCAGTGCTCTCCTTGGTGTACACCTGAGCAGGTGTACACTGCTTTTGATTCTGAATCACTTCTCCAGCTGGTCCCTGGCGAGACCATGCACATGCAGTAGCTCCCTTCTTCTCAGTCCCAAGAGTAAGTTTTCTCCAAGGACCAGCTTTTCTTCGGTTTTTTTTTTTTTTTTGCTTTTAATATTCTCCTTCTGGGAGTCTATCTACTGGTGATGATAAATTATCATAGGTATGATCAGCATTCCCAAATTGACACCTTCTGCTCTACTCGTGATAGAGCATCAGAGTGGTCTCTCAAGCATTCATTGGAAGCTCCTTTTTCAAATTCTCATCACCACTTCTCCCTTAAAATTGCTAACCCTGAATTGTGCATCTTCCCTTTCAAGTAGTCTGTGTGGATGGCACTAATTCTTCCGGGACTTTATTTCAAACTCTTGATCTTCCTTACTTCTACTTCCTCAGCTATAATGTATATCATTCTCTAGATCATTCCTTTACAGAACTTCAATCCAGTAAGTGTTTATAAAGAAGTTATCAAGAACATTCACTTACATCCAAATGTGCCCCGCTCTTCCCAGTTCAGAGTTTTGCCCAAACATTTTCATTCACCTTTCTCTCTCTACTTCTCAAAAGTTTGCCCATCCTTGAAGGCTCATATCTGCCAGAATGAATTCTAGGAAACATGGAAGCATGTCCTAGTTCTACTAGGGAGAAGAACTACTCTCTCTCACCTAAATCCCATCACACTTTATTTATACGTTTGCTATTTCATCTACCAGACTGACTTGCATATGAATAATACAGAGAAGTTTGTTCTAACTGTAGTTTGTGACCTCTTGGAAAGCAGTAAACTATCTTTCCAAGTTTTCTTCCAAGTTAGATCCATAACTGTGCTATAGATGCAGTAAGAGTTTTAAAAAAACCAAGACAAATTAAATGAAACTGCCCACCCGCCTATATTCCCAGTGGCTCAGAAGGCTGAGACAGGAGGATCATGAGTTCAAAGCCAGCCTCAGCAATAGCAAAGTGCTAAGCAACTCAGTGAGACCCTGTCGATAAATAAAATATAAAATAGGTCTTGGGGGCTAGGGTGTGGCTCAGCGGTAGAGCACTCACCTCACACGTGAGAGACCGTGGGTTCGATCCTCAGCACCACATAAGAATAAATAAGTGAAATAAAGGTATTGTGTCCAACTACAACTAAAAAAAATAAATATTAAAAAAAAATAGGGCTGGAGATGTGGCTCAGTTTTTGAGTGGTCCTAAATTCAATCCCTGGTAGGAAACAAACTAAACTAAACTGAGATAGGATATGAGCTAGGCCTTGGAATAGCAGTAAATATTAAGAGCTCCTGTTTGAAAGGCTGATAGGCATTGGGCATATTATCTCTAAAAAACAAAAAGCCAGAAAAGAAGGTGTCAAGAACCTCAAAGATCCAAAACATAACACCCCCCCCCAAAGTGAGGAACTACATTTAGAAAAGAGTTTATTATCTAATAAGCTTAATTTATCTATCTAGAATTTCCAAAGACTAACAGCTTGGTTGCAGTTATTATTGGTTTGACTGCAATATGTTTTTGATTTTCACCTTAACAGTTTTTATCTGATTTGGTAAAAAAAAAAAAAAAGACTTAAAGTAGACAAAGGTATATAACAATTAGAATAGTTACTCGTGAGTTGAGAGATCCAAGACAGAACCTGATGCTCATGACAGTTCTGACTTCTTTGCTTTTCACAACTACTTCAGGCTCTAAACTTCCATCAAACTTCAGTTATTAAAAATATTTTGTGTGTATAATTCTGAATTGTTCTAGTTAACATGTAGTATCTGGAATTTAAATTATTTTTGATTCTGTGTATTACATTTAAAATTAAATTTTTGTACTTTTAAATAATCTTTCCAATTTATATGACAGAGTGACCAATCCCAATGTGAAGACAAATTATGGCAAACTATGCCACATAGGAAGTAATATATTTTAAGCAACAATTTTAATTGATACACACATACACACTCTCACACACACTTAGTACTATTATCAAAGCGCGTCATTATTTTGAAGGGACAAGACCTCAACAACTTGCTCTGTCATTCTTAATATTAAAACATCTTTGGTGGCAACGATCAGACACCATGGACTTCCTTATCTGGGCTTACCTTTACTATTGGTTTTGAATCACCAAGAATTAATATTGATATTAATAATATTAATTAATTTTATAATTAATATTAATATTATTTCATCATCAGCCTTGTATCAAATTCTACTTTAATATAACAGATGTGTACAGAGTGAGCATGGTTGAGGGAAAAGAGATAAGGAGGAGACTGAGGCAGAGAGGGCAAAGCACACCTTCTGTGAGATAACCCTAACTTATTGAATTGGTTTAGATTATTTAATAATCAAATTAATAACGGACAAAAATAAAACCATACCCACTGAAAGCTCAACTCAAACAACAGACTAATTTGGTTTTATTTTCCCAGTGACTTGAGGTAAATACAGTGATCCATACACTCATCATGACCAGGTGTATGCGACATTTGGGGAAAGCTCACACTTACGATGAACTCACACTTACAGTACTGTGCATGGGACTCTCTTTTCACAATATTTTTTAGTAGCATGTACAAAAGTGATCAGCAGAGGTAAAATTTTCCACCCACTTCATTTTTATTTGGTATGTTTAGAGTCAGGTAAACATCAAGTGCTATGAGAAAAAAAATTATATTTCTTTAAAAAATACACTAGGAGGAGAGATAATTTTCTTAGTGTAAAACTCAGCCTTTATTCTGTCAGGCCAAGTAATTATGGAAGCAAAACAAATCCACATTGTCTAATTAGGTCATTAAAAAAGCATAAATGCGTCATGGAAGTTTTTCTCCTGGCCTGAGACATAAAGTAAGACAATGAAAAGAGTCTGGTAATATAGAAAGGTTTCAAATTTGTTTCTTTTCAAAAAATAATAGGTCCTTTCATCTTTCTATTTCCCTTAGATGAAGACAGTTAATTTAGAGAGAAAATGTTTTAATTAGTTCAGAGTTTACCCTGATTGTATTTCAAAATATTTAACCAAAAACAGGAAGACAGAGAGAGGGGAAAACAGAAAATACATGGAAAAAATATCAAAGGAAGTGAATTAAAAATCAAGAGAGTGGGTTGTTGATCAAAATGTCTTTTGCAGAGACAAGACGAATATAAAATCTCTGTTCACATAAACACGAGCCATCGGGGATGGCAGAAAGCTCTCAGGAGGAATATACTGGCGTCCGCCTTTGGGGATGGAAATCCAGACTTTAATTACAGCTAACTTAAATAGAAACAAATGGCATGATCACGGTGCTGCTTCCTCTCTCGACTTACTGTCATTTCTTGAGTTTCAGAAAACTCATGGCTCCAAGCATTAAGTAACAAAATGGGGAAGAGAGAAGGCACATACCTGGGAGCCCCTTGGTCCTCGTTTGTGGTCCCATTCCGAGTGTCCCAGGAGCTGTAAGGTGACAACACAACTATGGTCAATTAAATGATCATGTGACGTGATCAATCTTTTTATTCTTTCTTTTGAAGAACAATTAAGTTACTGAAATCTGTGTTCTAATAGTAATACATTAAATAATCATTGTGAATAAATCAACACACCTGAAAACGTAAACTTGGAGTTTGATAGCAAGTGTTTCAACCTCTCGTTATTTTGAAGGTGCACATCAGTAGGTGACAAATAGAACTGGCAAATATAGAACTTTACTGTTCTTTGCCAGGAACATCCTAGATAGATGTCAAATCCTGTAAAGCTTTATTTGTATAGCATGAAGCTTCTAGTTAAGTAGGAAAATATGCTGAGTGATCTAATAGTGTAGTCTGACCTATTGTCACAAATAAGAACCAGAAGCTCAAAACATTTCAATAATCTTTTAATTCTATTTTGGTAATATCACCAAAACATGAGAGTTCTAAAAATAATAGTATGATATAGTGTGAAAGATGCCCCTGAAATCCCAACATTTATTTTTTTCTTCACAAAGATTATAAAATATCAAGTTATTTCCATTGTTGTAATAGCCCCCAGCTGTTCTGCCTACAAAGCAGGTTATTTATTTATTAGAAAAACATTTATAGAAGAGCTGGATGTGGTGGTGCACACCTGCAATCTCAGCTACTCAGGAGTCTGAGGCAGAAGGATGGAAGTTGGAGACCAGCCTCGGCAAGTTAGCAAGACCCCCAACTCAAAATAAAATTTAAAAGGGCTGGGGATGTAGCTCAGTGGTAGAGGGCTTGCTGAGCATGTGTGAGATCAAGTTCAATGCTCAGTATCCTCCCCCTATCCTCACCCACAAACAAATAAAAAAGAAAAGAAAATAATATTTACAGAAAGAATATTAAAGAAAGAAAAGATATCAACTGAGGGTACTGAAATTCATTTGTCCACCCAGCACACTTGCTCTTCACAAGAGCCAAAGAACTTTTGCAATAAAGTACTGTACCCCCAAGGTGGGCTATACATTTATTTATAGACATCATTTATTTTTCTGTAAGCAATGGCTTCTTAGAAGTAAGTTTTTCATGATAAAACAATAAAAAGATCAACTGAATGTTATTAAGAATTTTTCTATAATGATAAAAGGTTAATCTTTACTGAGGAACATAGAACAGTTAATAGAATACTTTTAAATAAAAATATTTTTTCATCAACCAAATATAAATTTTACCCATGGGAACATATAAGAATCCATTATGTTGAATAATTAAATCTAAAAATCTAATGTACAGCATAAGACCTAAAGTTAGTAATATTTATTGTAGATTTGGAAATTTGTTAAGAGAGTAAATCCTAGACACTGTTAAAACACACACACACACACACCAAAAAAAAAAAAAAAAAAGAACAGAAGAGAGAAAGTTAATGCAATGAGATGAGACGAGGGCATTTTCTTAACTGTAGTTATCACCTCACTATGTGTACTGATATCAACACATGATGATGTATAGCTATGTCTAAACCATAGAAAGAGCATCACTTAGAAAATATTACAAAGCAGAAAACAGCCTCCTGATTATTAAAACATTTTCTAAAAACCCAATCCGACATGTGGATAACCAAAATACAAATGAATGAAATATACTGGGTTGTTCGAAATACACACAGGTATATATCGCACCAAAATGATGAAAAATAAAATGTTAAAAAACAAGAGTAATGAATTATTCAACAAATGAAAAAAAAAGAAATAGGCTTTTTTTGGGGGGAAAACATTATGAGTTTAACCTTATAACAAATACTAATTTGAATTCTACATTTGAAAGAATCAATTTATCTTAAAATATGAAATGGTAAATATAAAATAGAATAAAAATCTAGGTAAATATTAACCTGCTTTGGAAAATACAAATCAAACTTGAAATAAATGTGAACCTTTCCTTCCTCCCTCCTTCCCTCCCTCCCTCCCTCCCTCCCTCTCTCTCTCCCTCCCTCCTTTCCATTCCCTCCCTTCCCCTCCTCTTCTCTCCCATGCCCTCCAGTGCTGGCAACTGAACCCATGGCTTCATCCATGCTGGGCAAGTGCTCTATCACTGTGTTACAACCCCAGCCCTAAACTGTTTCCTTAAATATCTTTTTCCACCCTAAATCACAACATAGGACCAATTGATCTGGCTGTATAAAATTTTTAAATGTCTTTACAAATTTGCCACTGCTAAAATACCTGCAGTAAATAGTAGGTAAAATACAATGTTTAAGCACATTAAGAGTGCTGATGAATTTGAAAGAAACACAACTCTCATAGAAAACTTGAGAGAAGGATAGGAACAATTTACAGAAGAAAAAAAAATCAATACTTGATTCATTTATGGAAAAGTTTTAACTTTATTTGAAATGAAAGAAATTCAGTATAAACAATAAATCAGTATAAACAATATAATACTACTGCTGCCTATTAAATTAGGAAATTAATCAGGATGCAAAATGGATGAGTTAGGGAGAAATGTGAGCATATACATTGCTAGATTACAACATATATATGCATACTTAATGTATATAATTACATTTACAAACATTTATAAAACATGGATATAGTTACATATACCCAAATAGCCTTAGAAATTCATACCCTTTGAACTAGTAAAACCAAATGTAAAATTCCAATAATTATAATGTGTTAACCACCGTGTCTCCAACAAATGAGAAATTATCCAAGAAATGATAGTATACAAAAGAATAATATACAGCAATTAAAATTAAGCTTTCAAAGCCATTACACAAACATTGTGCCCCTGAGGTGGTACCCACGTGTAATACTAGCAATTCAACTCTGGAGGCCAAGGCAGAAGGATGGCAAGTTTGAGGCCAGTCTCAGCAGCTTAGAAAGACCCTATCTCAAAATAAAATAATTAAATAAAAAGGATGAGGGATGTAGCTCTGTGATAAAGTGCCCTGGTTGCAATCCTTAGTACCTGTCCCTGCCCCTCCCCCCCCCAAAAAAAAAACACTTGAGAAATACAGTTTAGTATGTGAAAAATATACCTAAATAATTTTAATCTACTCATTTTAGATAAGACTTAGCCAATCACTGTAGGCCTTGAAATTTCTTCAATGATTTATTTATAGTTAGTTTGGCTAGGATACAATTTTAGAAAAATTAACTCAGATGATCATTATGTAAAATTAGAAGCTTATATAATTGATATTTCTTTAATAATTTAGCTTTTTAATTATTCTAATTTATTGGCATTACTGCTAATGAATACCCATTAATACTAATTAAAATTTGATTATAATAAGGTTCACAAACACTAATCAAATAAAGAAACTGTATGATTTAGAAATATTTAAATTACAACATTTAATTAGTTGTCAACTAGAACTATCAAAAGCAATTCTTGGCACATTTCAATCATTTGCCTTATTAAGAACTTGGGAATATCTTGCATTAATAACTGGAAGACTAGATGCTTGTTTTTGGCAACTTTAACGATAAAATAAACTTGAGCACTGGGTTGCAAGTGAAATGATTTATCATAATCTTCTAAAAACATTTTATAAAAGGCTGGCTGTTATGGATGAGTTTAAACTCTCAGGGTTGGAATAATAATTCTGCATGGTATCACAGTTAAAAAAACTAAATACCAAATGCAAATTATAAATCAAAATATATTGATTTAAAAAAATAATATTTGACAATGACAATATATCAAGAAGTACACATTTTTTCTAGGGCCAGAACTAAAATATGAAGAGCACAGAATTCACTGCCCTCTTCCAATAACTAGCAAAAAAAGAGCAAAAACAGGGGCTGGGGTTGTAGCTCAGGGGTGCAGTGCTTGCCTAGTGTTAGTGAAGCACTGAGTTTGATTCTCAGCACCACTTAAAAATAAATAAATAAAATAAAGGTATTGTGTCCATCTACAACTAAAAAGAATATTAAAAAAATAAAACATTCAAAATGTATATTCATATTCAATGAACACAGAAGAGAAAAGTCAATTTGATAAATCACAAGTTGAACTTGTAAAACAAACTTCCATGTCTAAATCTGTCTTTTCCTTAAAGCATAAAATAGTACAATTTGTGAAATGTGATAAGTATCAGAGTTATTTCCTAGCATTATATGACAGTCTAATTTAGAGTGAAGAAATTCTATTTTGTCCTGTTCTTATGCATTTATATTACATATTATTATATTTGAAAGCTATAAGTTGAGCACATACATAAGCTTAAAATGCACACCACTGGTACATTTTTCCAAGTAATAAAGTTATAGAAATCTACATGCTAGGTGAAATATTGTAAACAGAAAAATAACTCTACCTGTGATACACGAGATGCTAGGACGTTCTCTAGTCAATAAGGAGGAGAGCATTGAAGGAAATGAACAGGATAGTTTCTCCTTTGGACTTGAGAAAACCACACAAAGATTTTTAGCATTAAAATTCTATTTTTAACTAAAATAATTGGAACCAAAATTTATCATTTATTATTTCGGGGTATAGAATTTATTGTGGCATCCTCTGTCATTTTGTTTCTTTAATGCAGAGACAGAGGCAGCAGAGGAATGAGACCTGGATAGAGTGTCAAGACTACCTCTCTCCATGGGGATAGCACACTGGGAACTAGAGGGGAATTGGGGTAGAAGGAAAATAAGCTGCATCTTATAATAGCACATAATAACATGTACAATTTTATTCTGTAAAACTATTTTTGTATCGTAAGAACAATATCCTTGGATCATAAAGCATAGAATAAAATAAGCAGGACATTTTCAGTATTCCTTTTTAAAAAGTCATCCATAATGTGATGAAATGACTTACTAAATACTATAGACCATTTAACCTGAATAATCAGTGGAGAACATTTCTAGTATAGCAGAACTATAGGGCTAAATGTTTTGCAAAGTACTATAGACGCTTCCCTATCCCCACTCTCCAGACTATTGATTATAACCAATAAAAAAAAACACTGTCCGTTAATCACAATAAAGAGTAAAAAAGACAGCTTGC